AAAAAAAAAAGAATATATTTTTCCAATCTTTTATACTTTTATTAACATAAAAATATTCAAACACTAAAAAAATTAAATAACTTTGAAAGTAAAATTTGTAGCTGTCTGCTTACATATCAGTGAAAATTCTGGACTGTTGGTACAAAATAATCAACATTCATAAAACTCTTACTACTATATATACAAAAGTTAAAATCACAGGCACTAGTGTTTGTTATTTTCCTGAAACAGAGTCTTTCTATACAGTTCAGGCTACCTTTGAACTCACTACGAAACCCAAGCTGGCCTCAAACTCAGTAATCCTCCTGCCTCACCCTCTGAAGATTACAGGTGTGCACCACCATGCCCCGCACTAGGCACTACTCTATCAAATCATTTTTCTTCTGACAGACTAACCACAATAATTCCTTTGATTTTTCCTAAAATGAAAAACTGGGAATACACCAAGACTTTCTAGTAAAAAGGCAATTTTTCTCTTTAGGAAACTAAGTGCCAATAATCTGTGGTAGTACAACAGCAAATAAAATAATACAGTACTTTACCAAACTCAAATCCTAAGTACTTTTTTTGGTACTGTATTTAGTTGTTGCAGAGTCTCACTATGCAGCTCGGACTTGTGGTGATCCTTCTGCTTTCAGCCTCCCCAGCACTGGGATTAGAGATGTGCACTACTATGCCTGGACTCTGGCCTGCTCAACCTGCACTGGGGGTGGGGCTGGCATAGCACATGGTGCCAGGAATTGAACCAAGGTCCCTGATCTTGCTTAAGCAGGCGGTTTAGTCCACTGAGCTATCTCACTGGCCCCCTGAAGTACATTTTTAACAGGTGAGGAAATATTTTAATTTTAAAAAACATCTTTTCTCATGTATCCATGAAAAAGTTAACCTGAATAATTTTTTTGAAATTGATTATCTAACTTTATTTTATTTATTTATTTATTTATTTATTTATTTTTTGGTGTGTAACCAGGGATTGAACTCAGGTCCTTGTGCTTGCCAAGGAAGCACTTATTCCACTGAGCCATCTCCCCAGCCTGCTATCTAACTTTAAAATGTAATAAATATTCCGTAAGTTAAAAATTTCTTTTAATTATTACATTGCAACATAGGGTCCACCAAAAAATGTACACATCAAGGAAAGAAAACTTTGTATAAATATCTTAATAAATTTATTTATTTAGTACCAGGGATTAAACTCAGGACCTTATGCTTGCCAGTCAGGCACTTATGCCACTGAGTTATCTTCCTGGCTTACTACTGAATCTGAGACAACATGAAATTAATAAAAGTTACCTTTAGTCTCTACAATTACAAGAGGACCTCAAAGTGGTGGCCATTCACTTCCACACATTTATTAGTATTTCAAACTGCTAAACTGCATATACTTTTTTGGGTGGACTCTATAGATTTTGAAATGTTGCATGGAAAACTAAGACCTGTTTCATTTTGTGCATTTTTTGTAGGTTGTTTTGTTTCATTTTGTTTTAAAATAGGGACTCACTATATAATCCAGGCTGACCTTGAACTCATTATGTTGCCCAGGCTGGCTTCAAACTTGTGGCAAACCTCATGCCTCAGCCTCCTGAGTGCTGAGATTACATGTGTCAGCTACCACACCCGGTTGTGGTTTTAAAGAGACAATGGCTAGTCTTTATAACATGGATTTAAGATTTACATGAACTACTCCCCCCACCAAAGCAGATCCTTTATCTTCCTGTGAAAAGTAACATTTTTTTAGTTCATCATCGTATAGAAATCTGGTGCCATCCTTTCCAGGACCTTCCCATCACTTTCAAATTCAAAGATAACATTTCTTCCCTGCATCATACCCCAACATACATAATACTGGTGACTTCTATCTGCAGCTGCTTATGCCAACTGAATGCCTCCCTACTGGTCAAGCCAATAAGGTGCCCCAGTGTCAGTCACAGCACAGCGGGGGTCTTGGCTTTATCATTCTCTCAGCCTATCAACTTCAATGCTGTCCTGAACAGAAAACCTCCCATTTCCCTGTTTCTTTCAACAATTCACAGGTTTTTCACTAACGGAAATGCTAAAGTATCCAAACATTTTCGTAGGTGATTCAGTAGGTTAGATTTAGTAGGTTGCCAAAAATATAAAAAAATCTATGTAAGGCAGAATCTAAGTTAAAAGGAATAGTATTTTCAAAAGATTTTACAGAGTTACTCAGTTTAAGGTGAAGTTAAGTAAGATTTAGCAGGATATACTTTTCTACCACATAATAGAATACTATGCCACTTTGTAGCGACAACACAACTGAATTTTTTTTTCAAATTTTTATTTTTATTAGTACATATTTGCAGTATATAATGATTACATTCATTGTGGAGTGTTAGTACATGCACTTAGCACATGCTAATTTTTTAAAATTTTCCCTTCCCCTTCTCTCTTTCCCCTTTTTTAAGATAATAGCTATATTTTACTTTGGCTTGGAGAGAGGCAAGCTGAATAATTAAAAGTTCCTTGTATAATGCACAAAATAAGCTTGAATGGGATCCTCCTGCTTTTCTTTAATTACTTCTAGAGGGTGATCTCAGGATTCAGGACAGCTCTCTTTGGGAGAAAAAGCATCAACATCCAGGGTTGAAGACTGGTTTCCTTGGAAGCAAAGTCTAAGAACCTCACAGATACCTGCTTCTTCTTTCCAGTTGGTTTGATTTAGCTGGACTTTGGGGTCTTCTTCAGTAACTGTTTGGAATGGTCATGTTACATGTTGCTGGTCATTTGTTCTTTAAAACACTTTTCAATACCAGCTTGCACCATTAGGTCGTTCACATTCTTCTGTAAGTCCTTTATACGATTTCCCATTTCTTCCGTTCTGTTGTTTAATGTTGCAGTTAGAGCCTGAAAATGTTCTTGAAGTTCTTGAAGTAGATTTTCTGCCTTGTCCCGCAGTTCATCCGCGAAGGGGGCTTCTGGCGCGCGGGTGTCCATGTGCTCCCAGCCGGCGTCGCGAGGTCGGCAGGCCAGCGGACTGGCTGAATTTTTTTTTTTTTAGTGTACAAATTTTTTCCCCATTGTTCTCACTGTATGGTTTTGGCCCAGGTCCAAAGCACTGAGGTATAGCATCAGGAATAGAGACCCATTTGTTCTACCCCATTATGGAAACCTGCTAAGAGAAACCAGAACTCTCAGTTCTGTGACAGGTAACACCATGTGAAGACGTTGGCTTCAATGTCAAAGGCCATCTTTCCTGAGCCAGGGACTATAAAGTTGAGAAAGAGTATACAACTGGTATCAAGTGCTCTGACAATCAAAACAAACACAAGCCCCAGGTGTCAACACGACATGATGGGTGGTGCTGATGTGTGAGCAAAATAGCAAAATTACCAACAATAATTTACAGAATTCTCCTAAATATAGGAGTCATGTTCTAAATCTCTAGTCCAGGTTTTTTGCTCCCAAATTTAATCCAGTCCCCTGGACTACTAGTGAAACTCTTTAGATAACTGGACTATTTAGTTCTTATTATCAAGGTACTGTATTCATTCATACTACTTATACAGTACATGAGATTGAATATTAAGTATTTTTGGATAGCATGAATGTACAATTTTCTTGTGTATGAAAGTACTCTCCCATTTACAAATTGGCATTTTTCTTTGGCATTCATTGGGTATGTGCCCAAACAGTGGCCTCTATCTAATATTAAAAAAATCAACTGTTTCTATTAAAACTAAAAGTAACTGATTCCATGGAGAGTAATAGTATGATTACCAAACACACCTGATGTTAAATGTCACTGAAGTACTTCTTGACCATTTCTATGTGAATTTAGACAGACAGGGCTAGATTTTATAAACCCTAAGAGCCTATGGTCAAAGCTGTTTAGCCTGGCGCAGGGGTACCCATGTGGCCATGGTCTTCTGCAGTCTTGTCTTTGCTGGCTTGTAACAACCATCTTTCATGCTGCCATACAATTTAGGAGCTTCCAGGGTCCTGCACCAGGCTGTGCATGGGTGCTTCAAGGCACTGGGATGCTCTTAGCAGGACCTGTGGCATTTGGGCAAGTTGCTTCTTACTGCTGTCATCCCCACAGGTCTGGTCAAAGAAACACTGCACTATTGCTGGGAAGATTTGTTAGGGCTGTGCTCTAAGCCATGGGAGGCCAAGGTGAGGTGGTGGTCTATGTGAACTGGATGTTTCTTGGGACCTGGAGAACTAGAGCTCTAGTTACTAGATGCTTTTGTTGGTTGTCAAAGCACTAAAGGACATGGTGCTAGTCGTCTGTGGAACTTCCCTGGAGAAGGTATAGCCACAGTTTGAGGTTGCACATGAAGTACTCTTCCTTTTGACACTTGAAAATTTCAAGTCACTTCTGCTGCTTTTCACTGAGTCAACTTGTGTACTGGATGTTCAGGTCATGTTTGGAAGACTACCCCTTAGGTTTTCATTTTTAACATTGCTTATTTATAAATCTGTGGAATGACACTGAAGTGAAAGGGAGGTTGCTATACGCAGTCAATCCTATGTTGTGGGGACACTGTACTGTATTATATTCTCTGAGCTGGAGGTCGTGAATGAGGTAAATTTCTAGGTTACTACTTAGGTGATGGTTGAACTATGGAGTTGATAGTGACAACCCGTTAACAGCAGGGTATATTGCATGATACACACTGCCATCATCATCATCTAAACTTTGTGCATCAAATTTCTAATCACTAGATGTACCTGCCCCACCTTGTGCAATCTCAAGGTGAATCAAAACTGTGACAAGATGTGGTGGCTGCACATCCTTGCCTAAGACTTTCTTGCACCTGGGCTACAAACTGTTCTTTGGTTATTACAGCATTTAGTTTACAATTGGATCCAATTGAATCTTCATATAATTTTGAAACACTAAACTCACTATCTACAGAGGCTTGAAGACTCAGTGGAGGATTTCTCTCTGATGAACTTTGGAAGTTATCTGATTTTCCAGAAAGTATAAGCTGTTTGACTACAGATCACACCGGGGTTAAGGATGAAGAACTGAAACCACTGGTATGTGAGCTACTGGCATTTGGATTGTAAGAACTTGTTTAACTCACAGAGTTGAAAAGATGATTGTAAAATTATGCCTTTTTGGGACTTACATAGTTTGATCAAGTTTGTGGATAACAGACTTTTCAGCACATATAACAGGACTCAAAATTTGCCTGCACCAAACTAACATACTGACGAATTTCTGCATTGGTGTAAATTTTCTCTTTGGTGATGAATACAGACAGATCTCTTCTTCTTCCCAGCCTGACATGTGCTTCTGCTGGTGGTGGTATCAGGCAGCTCCTCCAATTGGTGCCTACCCACCCCACCACCCTGGCACTGAGGCCCAAGGGGAAACCCCATGGGTTTCCCTTTAAACTTTGGGATTTGATTGCTCCTCATTTTTGTTATTGTCATACAGGTTACAAAAAAATGATTTTTTTTTTAATGTTTTTTTTCTTAATGTGTGTGTGTGTGGCCAGCTCAGCCCACCAGGGGGCGGGGCTGACAGGCATGTGGTGCTGGGGGATTGAACCACGGTCCCTGTGCTTTGTTAAGCTTGTTCTAAGTAGGTGCTTTAGACCACTGAGCCATCTCACCAGCCCCTAAAAAATGATTTTAAATAAGTTATGACTAAAAATATATGTAGCTCCTCAGCTGTTCATTCTGCTTCTTCAGCTTCTTCTCCAGCTCCTGCGGCTTCCACACCTCCTGGTCAGCATTCACTTGTATTGGAGTTAATGTCCTCCATCCTCATACCACTGCCAGACACCTGCAGGGACTCTCGGTGAAAGGGACAGAGCCGGCAAAGAGGCATGGCAGTGCCAAGGTGCCCCTGCTTCACTCTCAGCACTACTGGCCCCCGCCATGCACCTCATCCATGCAGGCTCTGGGACTGCATAAGCCATGACACACACTTTTAATGAATTTAACAGCCAAGCAAACTACATATATTTTTAGTCATAACTTATTTAAAATCATTTTTGTAACCTTATTACAGTAACAAATATGAGGAGCAATCAAATCCCAAAGTTTAAAAATCTAAAATGCTATAGTACTCTCCCTGTATCTGTACTTCAGACACTTTTGAAAATGTCAGCAAACTGAGAAATGAAATTTGTGAATACACACATTAACACTTCGAAAAACTGTCTCCACTGGCTCCACAAAATGACTGTAAGAGTTTTGCTACCAAAAGCATCTCTTTTTCCCCCTCACCAAAACCTGGTATAATTGAACTTATAGGTTTTGTCAATATGATAAATATTATTCCATATAATTTAATTTGTACTTAAACATGGGCCTAGTAAAAGTAAAATTTGTACTTGAACATGGGCCTTTTCATATATTTACTGGCCATTTTTATTTCTTTGTTCACAGCCTCTTCAAACTTTTTCTGATAAACTTAATCCACCTTAATTTTGATTGCTATTATTTGCTTGTTTTAGTTTTTGAGACAGGATAGCTCAGGCTGGACTTAAACTCATTATGTAGCTCAAACTGCCCTCAAACTTGCAGTGATCCTCCGGCCTCAGCCTCCCTAATGCTGAGATTATATGCAGGCTCCACCACACTCAGCAACTTTGATAGTTTCAAAGCATTATTATTATTATTACTTGGTATATTAAAGAACACAACTCTTTCTCATAGCATATATCTATTATTTCACCCTTTTTTTTTTTTTTTTTTTCTGGTACCAGGGATTGAACTCAGGATCTTGTGCTTGCCAGGCAGGTGCTTATTCTACTGAGCTATCTCCCCAGCTCACCCATTTCTGTTCTACTTATCTCTGAGGTGGTATATGTTGCTATTTTTACTACTCACAGAGTCAAATTTACCAATCTTTCTGATCTTTATTAGTATTTCAAGAGACCTCATTGAAGATTAAAAATGCAAAGATATTATCCAGTTTTAATGTACAACAAACACACCAACTTAGACTAAAGAAAATTTGCTTCTGCCATGATGTGGACACAGGTGGCAACTCTAAAACAGAATGTAAGGGTGCACAGAATAATGGAAAGGAAAAGCTCTGTATCTTACTGTAACATACATGTTTATTTGGTTACAAGTTCCTTCATGCAAAGTAAAAACCAAAAGTAAGCAACAAACAAAAAAACTCTTTAACAAAAAGGAAAAATGTGCATGCACCTGCAACCTGAAACTGTAGTATATAGCCCAAAAGAGCATCTTACCTATTACACTGCCCTGGAATACATACAGGCCACAGGCATCCCACACAGCAGCAGGTGGAGCCATCAGTCCTTGAGAAAGTCCATGGAAAGCTGAGAGCAGCCAACAGGCAACCATGCCCACTCCAGGATGCCCCAACAGGAACGTGCCTGCCCTGCACTGCTCCTTAGGGCCCCAGGACCACACAAAAGCACAGGACTGTACCACAATCATCTCACAAAAACCACAATTATTTCACGCATGAGCTTGGTTTTTAAATTTCAGAAAAGGAAATTTTTAAATTGTATATAATACTTATTTTTTAGTGGCCCTGCCAAGTCAACTGTTAGAACTGTCAGACTGGATGGATGGTAGCTGACTGTACATCACTGAGAATTACAAGGCTCAGCTCTCAGTTGGGCAATTAAACCTTTCTTCATCAATCTGAAAAACACTGTGATTACACAATTTTGCCATGTATTTATAAAAGTTTAAAAAGGAAATAAAATTGCATAAATGATGGTAACTCAACTTTTGTAAGATATGTCTAGTAAAATTCTTATTATTTACAACTAACAAGGCTTTCATATTCTCAAAATGTTTTAAACTTTTTACCCCAGAAATCACTATCTCATAAGGCAGTAATGGTGAACCTTTCAGAGCTTTCAATAACAAACATCCCGTTATGGCATGCACATGTCATTGGTTCACCATCACTGTCCTAAGAGGTAGTTTATGTGTTTTACCTCAGGCATTAGTACAACAGCTGAAAAAAACTGTAATAGGAATGAAAATCTGTGGTCCTCTAACAAACTGATATTAAAATTTATAACCT